AAAAGACAAAGAATATCATCACACAGGGTATTGGGGGCAGGGAATAAGAAGAATTCCGGGAAATACAGCATGATGGTGAGAATGAGTGACATAAAACAGATCCTTATCCAAAAGTGTATTTCTGTGTATTGAAAGAAACCAACTGCTGAAACCTGTATTTCTTATTGTACTAAGAGAAAAAATAGATAACTGATTTTTAGGCGAGAAGCTCTAATCAGTCTAATCAACTCCATGTAAGCTCTGTTTTCTCCCCTGCAAAATAAGAATAAGGAAGTAGAGAATAAGCTGAAATAGCTGACTTGTGAATAGAAATTACAGGCACACGTGTTATCTCCAGCAGAGATATACTGAATAACCTTGAAGAAGGTAGCTCATATCCAAGCTGAGAGAAGCAATTTCTGTTCCTAAAGTATACACTTCTTACACAACTGGTCGACAGACGTGACTGACATTTTTGTTGCATATTTGATCTGATCAAAAAAGCTATTGCCTCCGTAGTTCTTTGCCCAGCCTTCTGTGCTTTGACAGTGGCCTGTGAGCTCTGTTGCAGAGCGTATATAGGTATTTCTTTGGTGAGGCCCTTCCAAGACTTCTGCTTTCAATGGGAAGCTCAAATAGGTAATAAAATGTTATCTATGCTAATTCTATAGTTGTTAAATATAAATTATCTGCAAATTTGTCCATTAATTTGCATAAATAGCTTTATGATATGCAATGCAGAGTCATAGATTTGAACTTTTTCAACAGAAATAGTATTTTCAACAGAGGCAGGCTCGGTCATCTTAATTTAATCAAATTTATTACGACTTCTCAGTATCATATTTGCATTTTAGTTGAAGAGATAAAACTATATTACCGTCCCCAAACTGCTGAAGAGTATATGAAATGTCTCAGATCATTACTTACTATTAAGAGGTCAAATTTTGCTCTGTTTAATACCTGAAAGACAAAGATGAGGAGTTTCTGAACATTTCCAGAAGAGTAGTCCTAGGTCTTTTAATTAAATCAGTCTGCAGTGAGTATATCCTCCAGAAACTGCCTGGGAGGGCTTCCACAGGTTAGGAACTGACCTAGCTTAATTTATATGGAGGCAAAGAAAGGCAGTGAAGCAGCAGAGAACTCTGTGAAACCAATTGGCAGCGAGCCATCTGTTAAGCAACCACAACTACGTCAAAGATACCTAAAAATATATCAGTTGATTTGGGAACATAATGCCCTAACTCCAATAAAAAGGCACTTTGAAAACAATCAAAAATGTGTTTTAAAATAAATTGAGTTTATTCATATAGCAATGAAATATAAGAAGGACTGCTCTCATAGACATCGTTATTAAGTCCTGGATAGAGCCGTGAAATAATTATTTAGTTGTTAGTCTCTACTTCTCTCTGGAGTAGAAACTACTGCTTTATTTCAGTCCCATTGTCTGTCTCCCAAAACCTCATACTTCTGTCATGTCCTGTCTTCCTTTCTGCTTGTCCTGAGATTCTCCCTCATGTATTGTCCATCCAAGCACCTTGTGCAGTCTTAGTTCCATCCTACTCCATTCATTTCCCTCGCTCTGCTCTCATCCCCGCCCTTCTGCCAATCCTGCTCCTCGGACTTCCTCTCTGCAATTCTTCCTTTCTACTTTGACTTTCTTCTTCCCACATTCCCTTCTCCCATCTAAACTACAGACCTCTCCTTTCTTTGCAGCCTCCAAACTGGCCTTTCTGTCTTTCTGTCCCTTTCCTGAACTCTTGCTTTTACCTTCAAATGTACCCCTCTCTTCCACCTCCATCTTGTATGTGCCTGCCTTTGCACAACCACCTTATGTGGGAGAAACTGGGGACACTTCCTTGCTGTCATCTTAGTATTTTATGCAAATTTACTCCAGTATTGTCCACCTAATTTTTATATTTATATATATTTCTCAGGTTTGAGAAATCGGTGTATGGGTACAGTCCCAATGAAGGCATCAGTGTGACAGCTCTGAATGAAATCTCCTTATCATTTTTTTCTGCTTCTGCCCACATAGTAGTGTCGTCATTGCTGTCGTAAGAGAGCCAGGGGCTTGATTTGTGATTCATTTTGTGCCAACACTGTGGCCCCCTGCAGCAGGCAAAAGCTGGCTGGTGGTGAGACTACCAAGAAAAAAATTGCCCATGAAACAAAGTTTAAGAATCTTAATTCAGCCTTGCTAGAGTATTGATAAAATGTGAAGGTGCTGAATCACTAATTCTTTAATAGTTTGCATGCAGGTAGATGTTGGTAGCAGACACTTAACTCCTGAGCTGGACACAGATGAAAATCTAGTTTTGCCATGTCTTCCACCAAACCTGAAAGAAGTATTAGAAAACCTGGCCACCAGGGCTTTGGTACATTGTTAGGTGAAACAAAGAGTTGTTACAGATAGACACAAAGTATCTCCAAATCACTGCAGCACTGCTAATTTAATTAATGTATGTACAGCTAATTAAGAGTGTGCTTCCCAGTGCGATGGTGATTTCAGTTCCTGTACACTGCACATTTTAAGTTGTGTTATTTGAGGACATCCCAAGAGTGGACTTTCCAGTGGCTGATTTCAAGAGCAGATGTCACTGTAAAAGTTGTTTACTTAGCAGCAGCCTTTTTTGATTACGTCCATCCAGTCAGGCTGCAGATATGAAAACAGGAAGCATTCCCCTGTTTGTAGAAGACTGGCTGCAGTAATAAATATAAGCATATATATTTTGAAACAAGTATTTTTAGAAACTTGTATTGAGGGCTGTACTGCTGTTTGGACTTTCTGCCCTTTCAGATTTTGTTGCTTAGTCTATACATTTTTAATAATCACATTGCCTGCTAGCAGTGACATTTTGTGAAGGTCATTTTTCTTGTGAAGGTGGAGAATGGACTTGAATTTCATTGAAGGTCTCCCCGAGCTGCAGGATCGTTGTTTATGGAACTCTTTTGCATCTTGTACCACCTTTGAAGCCTGTTTAGAATTTTAACTAATGGTATCTTCAAAGTGTCACTGTGCTCAAGGGCAAAAAAGAAATCTCAAAATGCATTTTGTATTTAAAACCAGTTTTGAATAGCTTTGAAGCATGGTGTTAGCTGAAATAAAAGGCATAGATGATACAGACTTACTATGTATGCACACACAGAGAATTCCATGTTTCACCAACTTTTTCATTGTCAGCAAAGTGTCCCTTCACCATTGCAATGCCTTTTTCTTCTATACTATAAAAATCATTAGGTCGATGGATAATCTTAAGAATTTTTTTTATGTGATCGATAATTTAATAGCTCAGCAGGTATCTTTAGGCAGCCTCCGTCAGTGGAGAGGTTTTAGTTTTGTCTACATCGTTCCTAGCCTGCTGCTTCTCATTTCCCCTGTGTAGAAATACAGACACCGGGTTGTATTGATATGCCTTTTCTGTTTCTGAGTAGAGGATGACAGATACTAAACCAAACATGCTATGCTTGAAATAAAAGAGACTGTGGTGTCAGCTACTGCATTAAAATTGCTTGGTTTTGTATAAGCTGAAGTTCCTGCTTCCCACAACTGAGCACATACCATGTTTGCTTATTAATAAAAGATCTGAAGGTTTATTTGGTAGCTGTGTCTCATGTCTTGTGATACTGATATAGTCTTTAAAATATGTTTAATGTTAGTGGCAATGTTTGAGAATATGGCCACTTGAATATCTGTACTCTTCAGGAATAATTTTTTTCAGTTTTGTTTATTGCTTCCTGTGTTTTAGCTGTATAGCTAGTATAGGGCTCCTGGATCCTTCTCAGAGGGATGCCTTTGGGTTAATTCTGTCATTTTCCTTCTCAATGACTTTGTTTTTCTATTTGTAAACTGGGACCTTACAAAAGCACAAGGGTGTGATTTATAATTTAATCTTTCCCACAAAATAATTTGTCTGGTTTTCTTCCATTTTATTCTTTTGCTGTATCAAACTGCCAAGAAAATTTAGCTTATTCACAGTATCCTTATATTTCAGACATGCTTTTCTATTTCTATTTTGAAAGCTGTACCATCAAAGCGTTGTAGTTTGGCTGGATGTTTTACAATGGATTTCACAGTTTTATGAGCATTGCTAACATTTTAGTTGTGCCAAATAACTTAGAATCTTGTTTCAGAACATGAAACAGGATGATCCACTGAACAGCAACTACTGTGAGGGAAATGAAGAGAGGGTAGGACTGTAACCTGCCTTTGAGGTGTTATATACGAACTGAAGTTAGAGGTTGGGAGACTGGACAGCTTGTGCTTTTGAGAAAATTTGTGTTAGGAAGTAAGGGCAGAAGATTGGGCACGTCCCAGAAAAATAATTTTCCATCTTAATCCCTTTGTAGAAAAAGGACTAAAAAGACAAGTATTTTCAGAATCTGCTTCCAGGCTTCTCGATGCCCACTGCATATGGACCGCTTGTGAATAAAAGCCACCAGCCTGTTTGGAACCGCTGTTTTGCTGACATGATCAAAAGGGAAGGCCTCAGCCTCTGGCCATTATCATTACCATTTTACTATTTTCCTGCCTGCCTGCTACATGGGCTTCCCTTTGCAAATTTTTTTTTCTGTCTTCTGCGCAGACCGATTCACCCTTCTCATGCCTGGGAAAATCTCAACAGGAAAATGCACATGAGATTGTTGAGGAAGAGAAGGCAGTTACATTTGGTCTTTTTTTTGCTTATTCCCAAACATTCTTTCCTTTCTGTTAGAGGGAGTTGTTGTTATTTATGTGATGTTGGTTAACATTTCCTATGTATATACAGGGTCCTGACTTTTAACATCTTCCATAGGAGTCCTTACAGTACAGCTAACAGTGCTTCTTCCCAAGCCCTTGTCTTTACCTATTTTACACAACCAAGAGAAAATTCTTTAACATATTTCGGTGCTGCTAATTTAGCAAGGACGTCTCTTGGCAGAAACAAAACCAGGAGATATTCTTACACAAATTTTAGCTGGTTTCATATTTTTCTTGTCCTTGTACATCTTCACTCACTTTGCTATTTAATCTTTGATTGCAGGCCACTAAAGAAGTAATAGAGCGAGAAGCTCCAGGGATGGCCCTGGCAATGCTGATGGGATCACTTAATGTTACTCCTCTGGGCATGCTCTCTAGGTAAGACTATTCCCTTGAAAATATGGCGTGAACTCTTTCCTTAGAAATACAGATTGTCATCAAATGACTATCCACTAATAACTGAAGATTGCCATTGGTATCAAGACTAGAAGTCTTAACTTCAGAGAAGTGGCCAAATTCCAAGAATGGTAATTGCATTCTCTCATTTAATCCCCTTTGTTGTCTCTGTTAGACACTGTATCCTCCTGTATTTTCTGTGCCAGGTTATTTGTAATATTGATGCATGCTGTTAAACAGCTGTCTTTTCATCCTAGAGCTGTGGCATTTTGGTGGCGAGTGAAGAATTCTTCTATGTGTTGTTCATCAAGTACTAAAATGCTTTGTTTAGCAAAAAAAACTTTGATAAATACAAACGTATTGTTTGTATTTGATATTGTTTTTATTCCAGTATCAGCAAAAGCTTTCTGAATAAGTTAAATGGTACTTTATCCCACTCTTTCAGATACAGTACTTCAACTCCTAGAGTTTGATGTTTCCTACTAAATAATTAGTAACTGTTTCTCTGCCTGCTGGTGTTTCTTTTTTATCAGTGACATCTTTTATTATCCTTTATTTCTTTCTGGAGTTGTTTTTTATTTTATTTTGTTCCTTCGATTTACCTCATTTTACCTATGACCGATTCAGTAATATCAATGCCTTTCATAAGTTAGTTTGTGCTTGTGCGTTATTTCAAGGTAACTAAGAAACAATGGCTGTAACAGGTTTTTGCTTTCTCATTGTCTAATGAGAGTATAACAAGAAAATAATTATATAAGAAATAAAGAAAGAACTTTCAAATCTGCAACTTTATATTCAGATACTTGCATTTTAAAGGACATTTAGATGAGAGGTTTAGTGATTCCACAAGGTATTTTAAAACTTTTCGTATCACGTACCTGAAAGGGCGACATTGCCAAGTTAACACCTTCAGATTCTCTCCAAATTAGCAAATGTTTTCATTTTTTAATCTGATATAATGTTTTATATCATAGTTTGTGTTTATATAAAGGGAAAGTATAACAGAATATTACTACAAGGAGAGGAAAGATTTATTTAGCTGTTCTGTTTCTGATCAAGAATACCCTTTTAGGTGACACTACCAAGTTTGATTTAGGATGTGGTGTGATCAGGGTGGCTGAAAGGATGTTGTAATGGTAATGGAACCAAAACGCTGGATTGCAACCTGAGTCTTCTGTACATATAGCAAGAAAATGTCCCTTAAACTACAGCCACTTTAAGTGGTAGTTGATGACAATGATGGGAGATAACATTACAAACATACTGCATGCAAACATATTAGACCTTAAAAACTTTTCCAGTGAAAACCTTTACTTCAGGTCTAAAAGTAATCAGCATGCAGAAGTCCAGTATTTTTGTAACACTGTTCAGATCATAAAGTTAAGTACACAAAAATTACCAAATTACAGCATTGTGGTTGCTTGTGCAATCTCAGTTCTGCATGAATGCACACATGTGTTATAGTTATGGGTTTTTTGTAGAATTACTCTGCAAATGCTTAAGATGGAGAAGGAAATGTATTTTTCTTTGTTTTGGTTGTCCTGTGTGTAATACTGTATTGGTTTTGGTGCTCTTTATTCAGAATCTTCTCTGAATGCAGACTCACTTTCTCTGGGATTTTTCTTACATAATTTATTATTCTAAGACACAAATTGTTAATATATTTTTATAGAAAATTCTGCAAATTGAGGTAGTGTTGTAATTCCCCCTTACAATGAAGATTAAGGCACACATTAAGAGAGGTCAAAAACACACACTGATTTTAGGTACAGAGTTTGAGAAATGCAGATCCTAATTTTTTGAAATATTTTACATTAAATGTCACTTGTCCAAAGTTTTCCTCTCATTAACTTCATTTTGAAATGAAGTTCTGATGGATAATTTTGCATGTAATTTCTTTGACTTTTCAAAAAGAAACACAAACAAGCAGAAGTTCCATTATGCAACATTAAGCTGACACTTCTATAAATCACCTGCACGTTTGGAAATGTTAGGTCAATCCTGCTGA